CCTATAATGATAAAAATCCACCCAGTGTTTTTTTTTTAAATCTGGTTAAATGTTTTCCCTTCTCAAATCGAGCTGATCTCAGATGCCTGTCTGTGTGACGTCACACAGACATGCGTCTGAGATCGGCTCTATTTGAGAAGGGAAAACATTTAACCAGATTTAAAAAAAAAACACTGGGTGGATTTTTATCATTATAGGGTGGTTGTGTACACACACTGCCAACACACATTTAAGTTCAAACAGCTTGTAAAAGCGCATGTAGCATCCTATGACCCCTCACCCACACTGAGTTTAATCAAAATACATCCTGCCAAAACAATGTCTACCTTGTGTGCAAATATATAAAAAACTGTCTTGTGTGAAAGTGTATTTAAATGTATAAAATTAAAGCCAGGCATTATAAAAGGCAGGTTTGAATAAGAAAAATGTCCATTCAGAGCCTGGAACAGAAATAAAAAATGAATGCATATATTTAAAAAAAAACTTAATTTTTATTTACACCAGCAGAACATTTCATAAAATAACAACGATTTCAAATATTGTATATATGCTAGCTATATATTATGTACATACAAAACAATGGTGACCGCAGGGACAATTTTCATCATCAAAAGCTAATAGTCTTTCACACAAAGCACAGTGCCTGGGTTGTACAGTATTGTGCACTGAGTAGTTTAAAGTACATAAGTATTTCGTACATGATTAATGATGTAACTGTCCTCATACAATCTGTTTGGATTAAGCTTTAATTTTAAGGATGTATGTCTAAAATGGACTGAACTATACTAAATTTAGGAGTACTACCATTCCTGTTTGGTTTAACATTGTGAAAAGAATTAAGCCATCATGTATATTTGACATAAGTGGATTGTATGGCTATTCTATGGTAAAATATTTAGGATTTTGCAGTGATGTGATACTGTAGGGTGCGTCGTTAGGTGCAAGCTAATTTTAGGTCATTCCTGGTCTGCCCATAGAAGATGAGTCCTCGTATTACACTGAGCACAGTGACTGATCTAAACTAGTGTATTTCAAGCTGATTATTGTAAAATGAAACCAGGAAATTCTTGCGTGAATATCAGACATGGCTTTCAATTTGCAGTGACTGGATTTGCACAATAATTCATTGGTTTACACCTTTAAATTCATAGAGAAAGAGTGCATCATTATGTACATTAACAGACCTGAGTCCAGCATGCATTTTCAGAATAGTCTCTCTACAGTGTGATGTGCTAATATCCATTTTTTCTAAGGTAAAGAGAGACTATACTATATAAAAAATGTAAGGATCTGGCACCAAGTTCCTCATTTAAAGTATGAACCTTCATGGCACGCAGAGAGAAATCCTCTAGACCTGAGTTTTGGATATGTAAGCAATCATCAAGCCCCAAAAACTTCCTGAAAGAATCTAAATTCCAGTCAGACCCAAACCGGAATCTTCTGTAAACACGTCAACAGTATTATTAATGACTCCAAAGCAGGGCTGCATTATAATCGCATGGTGTCTACACTTCAGCTCTTAAATACAGGAAATTCTTTCATTTCTTTTCCTTTTCCAGATCGGCCAAAGAGTGTCAAAAATGACCAAATGCATGTGTCTGAATAAAACGTGACCCAGAACTGCAGTAGCATCATGTGTGACTGTCTAGTAAAGGGCAAAAGCTTACATAATCTTGCAAGAACTTGACCATTTTCAAGATATTTCTTTTATATAGCACCTATGTGAAGTTCATGGTCAATACATCAAGTAGAGCCCCACATAAACACTATGAACATGAAAAAGTGCTATAAGAAAGAAGACAAATGCATTTAGAGGGCCTATATTTGTGCCAGGCCTTCAAGTGGCCCATAATGTCCCTCTAAAAGGTCCCCTGTACATTGTTTCTTAACGCCAATGGGTACTGGAATAGTCATTGTGGATCACGTCGGCCCTTGCTGACCACGAGTTTGCAGGCTACTGAAGTGGGCCTCCCTTAAGATACGATTGATGTGATCGTATGAGAGGTTGTGGCTCAAGGAGACGGCCGGCTCTTCTGCTGAGATGGTGGGGGCAATAGGGCTGCAGGGAGCCTGGGATACATGGAGTCCTCTTTGTTCAGTCTTCTGGATGTTGGAAGTGGCTCCTGCCATCCGCTCTGGACTGCTGATCCCACTGCTGTCACTGCTGGAAGACTGTTGGGTGCCAAGGAATTGAGAATGAATAAGAATAGAGGGGTGGCAGTGGTTTCTGTGCTTTACCACTTCTGGTTTCTGTGTTTACTAGTTAATATACTACCGTTCAGAAGTTTGGGGTCAGTTTACATCTAGCAATTTTAACTTTTTTTCTCTCTCCGAATTCTGAGTTTAAAACAGGCTGCTGAAAATTCAGCTTTACCATCACAGGAATAAATAACTTTTTAAAATATATTAAATTAGAAAACAGTTATTTTAAATAATATTTCACAATGTTACTGTTTTTACCGTATTTTTTCATCAAATAAATGCAGCCTAGGTGAACATAATAGACTACTAATGTCCTACTTACTAAATTTTATGAAGTATAAACTGAATAACATTTTTAAAAGTAGAATGCGGAACAAAAATTATGCAATCTTACATTCATGTCACGTGCGCTCGTCATACCATGCGATCTTGGACATTAAGATGACTATTATACAATATAAATGATTTTATTTAATATATCGGCCAAAAATGTCTAACAATTTGGTAGTCAGAAAAAAACATTTAAAATAGCATCTGAAATTTCAGTTCATTCATGAAATGTCAAGTCGCCGCTTTGGTCTGTGAGATACAGTACTGAAAACAGCCTTAACTCTATACTTAAGCACTTTCTCTAGTTTGTACCTTTATGAAATACATTCAAGAATGAACATCAACAGTCTCACTTGACCGTTCTTGAACGAAAGAAGGTTCCTGGTCAACTGCTGTGCTTCAAGTTCTTACCTCAGAGTCCCAGACATCACGGCCAACCTCAGGGAGAAAGGAATAACCCCCAGACCTCTTTGCCTGGGGCAAGACCTGAAGCTCCTCAGCATCACAGCTGCGCCTGCGTTTCCTGTTGACAGAGATCATCGCCTTTGACTACTGTTCAACACGCATAGAATAATTTCTGACAGTCTTATTATTAAACAACCAGGTATTTTTCAGCTGATTCAGAACATTCTAGATGCAAATCTTTCTTCGTAGTAAGCATTACCATTTCTTAAGCAATGGGGCACTGCAGACTTGATTGCAACCATTAGTCATCAATATGTCCACTGCAGGATTATGACTCAGATTTAAGAATAAAAATGCCATCAACACAAGAGCTGTCAAAGCTTGATGCTGGATAACAGCACAGACTCATTTAACCGATACAGTTACTAGTCAAGAGGATCAGCCTTGTAAAAGAACATCTAAAAATAACCAGCAGACATGAAGTACTACACTAAATCTGCATACACTGTCAACAGCAGCAACATGGATGTCTGCAGGACATGTGTGTTACATAAATGCATCATGAAACATGCATGCAAACACAATTATAAGCAAATGGAAGCAAATAATGTTACCTGCTTTCTGTCAACATGTCGTATCTGTGCATTTGACAGCCAAATAAGGGCACACAGCACCTCTCAGTCTCAGAGACCACCGGCTTCCCTTTTCAGCAAAATGCAGGGATCTGTCAAGATTTTGCCCTAATGATGAGCGAAATGACAAATGTAATTCACAGTGAGAAGCTTCAGACACGTTTACATTGCAGTGCAGGTGTGCAGAAGGCATACCATTAATATCTAATAATTCAGGCCTGCCAATATAAGCGTATATTATCAGCTTTTATGCATTAAGATCCATTCGAGAGATAAACTGAGCTATTATATTCATACTAGAACAATGATCTGCATAGGACTGACAAAGAACGGAAGCGAAACACCTTATCTATATCATTTAAATGTAAACGTATGTTAATTAGCATTAATGTCTGACATGAGTCAAAATGGCTCATTTGCATAAGTGCGCTGATGCAAATCGGTAATAATGTTACAAAAATAGTGCGTTCATAATGTCAAGCAGAGAGACAGATAGCACAATGCTATGTGTAGTTCACTTTACTTCCTCCTAGCGATTAACTGTTCCTACTACAGAACAAACGAAGGGATTTGACCGGAATAAATAGATTGTGAAGAGACGAAATGGTTATGATGTACTCTACCTCTGCCTGTTCACAGATGGATCTTGAGTTCAGTCATTTTCTGAAGTTACAACGTATCCATCCATCTCTCTCTCTCTCTCTCTCTCT